CCCCCTCCACCCCCCCAAAAAAAAAAATTACATTTCAATTCTTTATTGTCAATTATCACCCAAATGAAAATATAAAATTTATTGACACTCGTGCAGCTGCCCCAGAATTATGAGGCTAAATTTCCTGACAGTATATAGGATGCGGCAGTGCAAATGCAATCCGAGTTAAATAGTTTTACCTGCGTACATGCTGGCTTAGATGGCTTCTGAATTGTATTAATTTATTGTTCACACTAATATGGACGAAGGGATGAAGTCTCTTTTGTGTAATGAAACGAAAGTAGATATTCTTGGTTGCAGCGTTGTATATGAACCTAAATGAAGCAGACATGTTTGCGTAGACATTCATGAAATTTTGCTGACTACATAAACAGACTGATTGCTTTGAGTAGTTATAGTAGCCTTGTCAGCAAGATGCACTTTGCTGTTGGTTCCTCTACAAGGGCGGGATGAGCCTGGCTTGTGCTAAAACTTAGTGCTTGGACCAGAACTCAGTACAATGGTCTGCTCCTGGTTTCGGAAATCATGTACTACATTCCAGGGTAATGTCTGTTTCTTCCTCAATCTTTAAGCCAAAAATGTGTGAAGCCATATGCTACACTTTTTTTTTTTTTTTTTTTTTCTATTTGTTGATAGAAATGTAGGACTACAGTCGCGCTTCTCCATTCGGTTCATGGTTACGCCTGTCAAAATCCTGCTTGGCTCAAGACTCGAGTTGTAAGTCTCATTGGTAGTGAATTATGATTACAAATGCTTAACCATATTCGAAGAAAACTTGTTAATATTCCTAGTGAAGCACCAGGCTATACTCGTGCTTGTATTGACCCAATTAAAACCATCTATTCTGAGACTAGATTTTGATAGGAATGATTAAGGGGTTATTTTCTCTCTGTTTTATTGCTTGATCTTACTTTGAGACTTAAAAAGAGTGGGGGTTAAAATACCAAGGATAATTCAAGTTTTAATAAAGACATCAGATGCTTTGAGATCACATTTTGGCAATCTCTGAGAGTTAGGACAGAGAGATTTATCTGTCGTGAATATTTTAATTTTAGTGTGGTTGATCCGCTTTTGACTGGACTGAGAATGAGATTAGTTAAAGTATATGTAAGTTAACTCAAATATCGCTGACAGTTGAATCAAGAGAGTGTGTGGGGAGTCACAAACTGTCCTGTTAGAGCTTGTATCAAAACTATATGTCCATTGGGGAAGCCCTCTTTCCCCTCCAGAGGAGGCTTCCAACGAGTAAATACTACTACAATCATGTCTCGGTAGGGTTACACATGTGGTCGCCTTTTTATTTACCTATAAAAACTATATGCCCATTAGCTTTGTTAATTTGGATATGAAAAGGCCTTTGAGGCAACCGCAGCTGGTAAAGCCTTTGGAGTTTGGAGGCCTTTCTTGGACACAGGCGTGTCTTCATCAGAAGTAAAAATATGCGAAGATGAAGAAGAAAATTGCACGCTTTCTTAAGCAAAGGACTAAAAAAGACCCATACATCCCTCATCCTAAGTGGCAAGTTATGATTGGTTCTCAAGATATTGTGCTTGCGTCTACTGGGGTTCTCTTTTCTTCATTCAGAACTGGGCCAGTTGGCCGAAGGGCTCAAAAGAACCAATTACCAACCAAAGCCCACTACCTATTTGGGTAAATTATAATTTATACCCTTAAAGTATATACTTAATTTTTATTTGGTCCTTAAGTTTCAATTTTAACAATCAAATCCTTAAAATTTTAAGGGAACTTCAATTTAATTCTTATATTCAAAATCACTAATTTATTATTATAAAATGACCTTTCGTGATAAATACGTGACTTGGGTAAATAAATATATTTGTCTATTAAAAAATCTTCTATGCATAAACTATAAAAATTTATTTTATCTTATTTGATTTTGAGAAAAAAAAAAAAGAAAGTAAATCCAAAAGACAAAAAGATACAAGGTAAAAATTTAAAAGATTTATGAGACTAATTTTTATTTTGTGCCAAACAAATAAATCTTTATAAGCAACTAAGTTAAAATGCTAAGAATGATCACTTAGGTGATAGTTTAGTTGACTTCTATAGAGGGTAAAAGTCTCATCCTCCTCCAATAATCATGGGTTTGAATTCACTTGAGGTCCTTGTGAACAAGATATCGTTGTAGGAGAGTTTGCACTCGGTGGTGCTGTGGTAACAGACTCGATTATCTCAAGTTAATAGTTATGTTTAAAATTAAAAATTCTATGACATGTGAGATTCTCAAGGTAAGGGTTTGGGGTTGCTACGCCTTATTACCCCTAACCACCTCTTTTTACCAGAAAAAAATTTAAAAATATAATTGTTGTAATTAGAACTTTAAAGATCAAATTGAAATTAAGTGCATATTCTAAGGGTATAAGTTGTCAATTAGCTTTGGTTTTTTCCTTGGATGTATACATATCCATGTTTCAGAAAATTCACTCTTCTTGACTTGTAGTGAAAGAAATTGATCGAAACCTCAGTTTACCAGATCAAAACGCTTCCTATTGCTTCGTTTCCTCATAATTCGAGGTAAAATTCTTGAAATCTTCGATTCGTATCATCTTCTCAGTTTTCATTTTGATAGTGATTGTCTGTGTTTTTTTTTTTTTTTTTTAGCATTTCTCAGATTTTCAGCAAAATGACTCAAGACGTTGAGATGAAAGAACAGCGGCCTGCTCCTTCAAACTCTGTTACATCCACTGGTCCCTCGACTATGCAGCGTAAGAAGAAACAGTTTTATATCTGTGTGAAGTTTCAATTCTTAGTTAAAATTGATTTTTTTTTTGTGCTTTCTCTGTGGAAATATGGGGGATTTTAGATTTGAAGGAGATTGCATCTCTTATCGAGACTGGTTCGTATGCGCGCGAGGTTCGTCGGATTGTGCGCGCAGTTCGATTAACCATTGCATTAAGGCGGAAGCTGAAGGCTTCCGTGATTTCTGCATTCCTGAATTTTGCCCTTGTACCTGGATCCGATGTGCACAGTCGCTTATCATCGTATCTTCCAAAGGTAGCTTATAATCTGTTTTACTTTCTGGAAAAAAAAAAAAGAGAAGAAACTACTAAGCTGTTTGAATTCGGGAAGTTTTGCAGTTTTTTGTAAGAGTAATGCTATATGAACTTAAAATATAAACTTAAAAATTAGACTTGCTAATCTCAACCATTGATTTCATTGTAATTTCCCAGCTGAAAACTGAAAATCATGTTTGAAATAAGGAGGAATTGGACAGTAATGCTTTGTAGTCTAATACATAAATGAGTTGCTTGCAATGGCATGTACCAATTGGTAGACTAAACAAGAAATGAACTAGGATTGTGTCATGATGGAATGATATCGCGGATTCAGCAAGGGTGTATCTGCTGTCCTAGACATTTTTCTTATTTGCTACTCATTTTGAGAAAAAATTTTGCATTTGACTATTACATCAGTTGGGAATGAGTCCATGTTCGCTCTATATATTTTTTCGTTTCATTTTTGTGTATTATGATATTCTAAGAATCTAAGATCCTATAATCTTGTTAATACTGTACTTGTCTAGAAATGCCGCACATTCCATTACTGTTGAGGTTGCTTAGTTCTGTAACTCCATCTACATAACAGTATGAAGATCTGGTACTTGCGTTCTCAACCTTACTAATGGTTTGTTTTCTTTTTTTTTGTCACATGTGTTGCATCATTCACTTTTTTTGGTAAGTAAAAAATAATAATGTGGTTGCATTCATGTGTAACCTTTGTCTTCACTAATATATATTTATGGCCACTTTGTTTTTGAGATATTGGATCATTATAACAGAATTTGATTACCCCAATATTTTAATTATCAGCTGAATTCTATAGTAACAGCCTCTCTCTCTCTCTCTCTCTCACACACACACACACACAGATGTATACCATGTTGACATTGATCTGAACGTTTTGGTTTGAAAAGAGTATAGGAAGTGTACGCTTGTTTAGAGTATAAAGACAGGTTAACTATCATAGCATTTTACAATTGTATAGCAAAAGTAGTAATTCTAATGGCATCTGTAATACTAATTGATTAGTCCATTAGGAAAAAAAATAGAAGTACATTATTTGCCACATTTTAATCCTAGTTTTACAAGCTTTTAACTTTGTTTACAGGAAGATGAGCATGATATGGAAGTTGATACCGCCTCATCTACAATGCAAGCAACTGTGAAACACTCTTTGCTAGAGCTCGAGATTTATTGCTACTTGCTTGTGCTAATATTTCTTATTGATCAGAAGAGATACACTGAGGTATAATGATATGTGACTTCATCCCTCAGATAGACCTGCATAGTCTTTGATCTTGTATTTTTATGTCTTCTAGTGCTTGCTTTTGTTGTCTTCAGGCTAAAGCTTGTTCATCTGCAAGCATTGCCCGTCTGAAGAGCTTGAATAGGCGGACTGTTGATGTTCTAGCATCCAGGCTCTATTTCTACTACTCCCTTAGCTATGAAGCGACTGGCAATCTTGCTGAAATTCGGGGGTGAGGTTTGGCACTGCATATTTTAGCTTGCAGCCATATATGAGGATTCTGTATATTCTAGAGTGCTGAATGCATACATATGTGGCGACACACTGTCGGACGAAGTAGCACTTTAGAGCTGAATACTATTCATTCTAATTTCTTGACATTCATTCTTTGTCAGACTTTTTATGTCTTATTCGTTCTCCTTGTATTTTTTTTGGTCTCTGTCTAACTTAAACTCTCATTCATCAGTAACCTTCTTGCATTACACCGGATTGCAACATTGCGACATGATGAGTTGGGGCAGGTTTGTTGCCAATTGAAACAGCAATTACATGATGTCATGGTACTGGCATCTCATACTTTGTATGATGGCAAATATGCAGGAAACACTTCTCAACCTGCTGCTTCGGAATTACCTCCACTACAATTTATATGATCAGGCAGAGAAGCTGAGGTCAAAGGCACCTCGTTTTGAAGCTCACTCAAATCACCAAGTAATTCTTAACACAATTGTCTGTCTTTTTTAATGCACAATACTGTTGTATGCACCTGGTGTAGTTTTAATGGGATGATTGGTTGCAGCATATGACAGCTGTCTTGCGTTGGACATTAATGATTCTACATGACCTTTTTTCTTCTTCTCTTTTTTTCCAGGCGATCAGCGCCCTCATAGTTATTTTTAACATGTTTGATGCAAGGTTGTGAGCTACGGACATTCTGATAGAATTCATAGCAGGACCTGAGCATCAAGGTTATACTGTGTATGTATGTAGAAATATATGGGAAGAAACGAGAAACTTAGGAATATGTTAGTATTAGATTAGAAGGTTAAGCCATAAAAGCGTGAGTTTTTAATCATAGTAGTGGGAAACTTTGGTGAACAAACTATAAAATTTAGCATAACCTACACAGTCACTGGCAAAACACGAGGCCCCCTGTCATTTTGGAAAATGACACGGGTCCTCTTGAGTTTTTAGTGTTGGACATCAATGAGATATAAGTTTTAATTCCACATTTTTCTCCATTTGATGACTTTTAAATATGTTTTCTCAAGTAAATAAGAGGTAAACTAGTAATTACTCTACACTGTTAAGTAATTATTCTAGGCACTGTTGACAACTTCCACTCAAAACTCCAATGGTATCTCTGTGTCCTTTTCCAAATGTTAGGGGTCTTCATGTTGTTTTATTAGAATTGTAGGGGTATCATTATAATTTTCCTGACAAATTTGAAATTTTGGTTACTATCAAAAACCTGAAATAGTGAATTATTGAACCTTTCTGGTTACATGGATGTCTGCTGACTACTTTCCCCTTTACCATATGAAGGGGAGAATGGGAGGTGGTTTTGTATTTCTGCGAAATGCTTAGATTATCTATCCAATCCATTGTCTTTTTATAGCATTTTTCAGTTCAGCAAATATTGATTCACAAAGGTACATAAAGAGTGGAACTTTTAATAGTTCAGCTGCTCTGTGTGAGTGTTTGGGATTGACGCCAATGAAGAGGCCCTAACATAATTTGTGATTAATGCATTCTTTTATGGCTTGATTCATGCCTGTTTCATATCCACTCTTTGAATAAAATGTTTAGTCTCCGTATCTGCTTGTTGTAACCTTGTCTTTCTGTTCTTTCAGTTCTGCCGGTACCTCTTTTACCTTGGAAAGATTAGGACAATTCAGTTGGAGTATACAGATGCAAGAGAGTCCCTCCTCCAAGCTGCTCGGAAAGCCCCTGTTGCAGCTCTTGGGTTCCGGATTCAATGCAATAAGTGGGCTGTGATAGTCCGCCTACTGCTAGGAGAGATCCCTGAGAGGACTGTTTTTATGCAGAAAGGCATGGAGAAGGCTTTGAGGCCATATTTTGAGCTTACAAATGTAAGTCTGGTTGCTCAAACTTTAACATTTTCCTTGTCAACTACATTTCTCCCTCGTAGTCTTATCAAGTTCCGAGACATATTGGGGCTAGGTTGTGCTGTTTGATTATGAATACGTGGCTTAAACAAATAACTTTCTTACCATTACAAAAATAAGGTCTTTTTTGGAGTAGTGGTAAATGGTAACGCATATGCTGTTCATTTGTGCACAACATGTCCTCCATTAGGTCTGCCATTGATTTTCGATATGTGGGCCTTTCAGGCTGTTCGAATTGGAGATTTAGAGCTGTTCAGAAACGTTGCTGAGAAGTTTTCGAGCACTTTCAAATCGGATGGGACCCACAACTTGATTGTTAGGCTGCGGCATAATGTCATAAGAACTGGGCTCCGAAACATCAGTATCTCATATTCCCGCATCTCATTGGTTGATGTAGCCAAGAAGCTGAGATTGGACTCTGCAAACCCTGTTGCTGATGCTGAGAGTATCGTAGCCAAGGCAATCCGTGATGGTGCAGTGGATGCAATGTTGGATCATGCAAATGGGTGGATGGTATCGAAGGAGACTGGGGATATTTACTCGACAAATGAACCTCAAATTGCATTCAACTCAAGGATTGCTTTCTGCCTCAATATGCACAATGAAGCAGTGCGTGCTCTTCGATTTCCACCAAATTCTCACAAGGAGAAAGAAAGTGCTGAGAAGAGGAGAGAGAGACAACAGCAGGAGCAAGAGCTTGCCAAACATATAGCTGAGGAGGACGACGATGATTTCTAATGATGTCCACTGGCATTTGGATACTCTTTGTGAGCATCTTCCAGTGCTTTCTCGTTCTACAGGGATATTTTGCTTTCCAACGACAAAAACGACTATCATCTGTCATAGCTGTTGATTTATTTTCCCATGGTGCTACTGTTCCTGTTGTAAGTCTGAGCAATGACTCTTGTGCTCTTTTGAATTCTATTTGGACTCCTGCCCCCGTTTATCATCCTTCTAATAATTTCTTTTGTTTTTGCTGCATTGAGAGATCAAGTTGATGGCAAACCTCTCTTTCTTCTTTTTTTCCGCAACACAGAAACTAGAGAAGAGAGCCACCAACGAGGATTAAATTTAGAACATTTAAGCTTATAATTTGCCCCAACTTAACCCGACCTCACTAGACTGTGTTAAGCCTCTATTTCTTGTTAGATTGATTGAATAGTAAACAAAATATTTGCTACAGGGAGAACTGGCACACAATTACTCTGTAGCAATGTCACCTCTTGATTTTCTAGGGAATATCGGATGCCTTTTCCCTGACTTCTTGAATGCCTTTTATTTTATTTTTCCCGCGTGAGGAGACATGTTCCCCTNTAGCAATGTCACCTCTTGATTTTCTAGGGAATATCGGATGCCTTTTCCCTGACTTCGTGAATGCCTTTTATTTTATTTTTCCCGCGTGAGGAGACATGTTCCCCTGGGCTCACATCAATAAAATCCTCCTGGAGAGAAAATGGGGAAACGACCAAAATCACAATGGGTTCAATAGCATTGAAAAAAAAATATTTCTGGCATTCGCCTACAGCTAAAATGTCCGTGGTACAGAAGTCAGACAAAGTAGTTTGGCAATTCCTTGGTGAAGATGGGTATGTGGTGCTCTCATGGACATTGTCCAAATTTCTTTTANAACAAGTCCAGGCTATACAGATACCGATGCATATACCTCTTCAAGAAAAAGAAAGGAATGCCCTCAACCAACCACCTAATTACACTATATAGATTTTTGTGTGTTTGTGCGCGCGCGCACATGTAAGAGTGCGTTTGTATGNTAGCTTCCATGACAAAAAAAATGTGGCTATGAATCTCCAAAAATTCAGAAATAAATACTATCAAGCTGGGAGAAATAACACAATAGCTTCAGCTCTCGTACAATTTTGATTTTGAGTCCTCATGGTAGAGCAGCATATGTTACAAAATCTGTTTAAATGATTTATCTCGGTCTCAATTTGATTGAGTTACTCTAACTACAAATTTAGCTGCAAATAAACGTACGTGTACCAGGGGAAAGAAAAAAGCAGTTTCCACCAGTTCAATGGAGGAGGACCAGAAAGTTTCAAGTCTTTCACCAGTGGCAGTATGTCACACAGCAGAACTGAACCCAAATGACTTGACTATGTTACTGACCCTTTCAGCAAAAGTTCTGGAGGTTATCTTTTTACCTGGAACATGAAATGGGTTGGAAACTGCATCCACATATGCAGCATGGAACCTCCCGAAAAACTATTTTAGTAGTTTTCATCAAAACAAAAAGCGAAGTTAGATTCCATGTTTAAAATTTTTGTTGATATATCCTATAACCAAAAAAACTAAAAGAAGAAAAAACAGAACCAGCATATACAGTTAAAACATATTCAAAATTCCAGAAATCCCACTCAATTTGGTCAAACTAGTGTCCCAACCAGAAAAAATGCAACAAATACTAAGGATCATCATATGTGTGCTGAGGATGGAACACCATAATTAGTGCATGGAACAAGAAGGTTCACATGGATTGTATGCACAATAACGGAACAGAACCAGCAAACTTCTCAACATAGAAGTGGTAATGCAAGTTGAGTTCGGATTGGCCACTGAGGACTGAGGAATATCACATCAATTAGAAACGGTAGTTTCGCTCAGTGTCCATAAAATTAAATGCTAGATTGATTTAGAAATCAGACCACAACTCATTAGGGTGCCTTTGAGTTACCAAATTAGCATTTCCTCCAATCCTACCATCCTCCCCAAAAACAAGTCCAGGCTATACAGATACCGATGCATATACCTCTTCAAGAAAAAGAAAGGAATGCCCTCAACCAACCACCTAATTACACTATATAGATTTGTGTGTGTGTGTGTGCGCGCGCACATGTAAGAGTGCGTTTGTACGTATATATACCTGAACCCTGTGAGAAGCTCAACAAATTCCTGTAAATATTGTGGAATTTTCTTCTCCCTGCCCCTGTTTTGTTATAGAAGAACCATGGAATACTGTAAGGCAGCTTGAACTCCTGTGGAAATGCCTACAGGGTTTGTGCGGGGGTGTGTGTGTGTCTCTCTCTCTATCTCTCGAAGACTGAGGTCATTGGTAGAACAGTTTTTTTAGATGTAAGGAGGAAGAGCAAAAAATAATAACCACCTGCTCTTAGAATGCTCTGTTGCCAGGCATACTGGATGCTCAGTTGTCCCTGTCAGGGTTTTACTGGGCCATGTCTATGATACTGTGTCATTTATTTAGTTGTTCCGTCAGTGCCTCAGTGGGTAAGAAAGGCATTGAGTGGTTTTGACTGAACTGTAATTTTGCCTTAAAAGTTTCTTAAGAGGGTAGGGTATCTAGGTAAGCTTACCTGTGATGTTAACAGATGTTCTTTATTTCACAAACACACACAGANTAGCTTCCATGACAAAAAAAATGTGGCTATGAATCTCCAAAAATTCAGAAATAAATTCTATCAAGCTGGGAGAAATAACACAATAGCTTCAGCTCTCGTACAATTTTGATTTTGAGTCCTCAGGGTAGAGCAGCATATGTTACAAAATCTGTTTAAATGATTTATCTCGGCCTCAATTTGATTGAGTTACTCCAACTACAAATTTAGCTGCAAATAAACGTACGTGTACCAGGGGAAAGAAAAAAGCAGTTTCCACCAGTTCAATGGAGGAGGACCAGAAAGTTTCAAGTCTTTCACCAGTGGCAGTATGTCACACAGCAGAACTGAACCCAAATGACTTGACTATGTTACTGACCCTTTCAGCAAAAGTTCTGGAGGTTATCTTTTTACCTGGAACATGAAATGGGTTGGAAACTGCATCCACATATGCAGCATGGAACCTCCCGAAAAACTATTTTAGTAGTTTTCATCAAAACAAAAAGCGAAGTTAGATTCCATGTTTAAAATTTTTGTTGATATATCCTATAACCAAAAAAACTAAAAGAAGAAAAAACAGAACCAGCATATACAGTTAAAACATATTCAAAATTCCAGAAATCCCACTCAATTTGGTCAAACTAGTGTCCCAACCAGAAAAAATGCAACAAATACTAAGGATCATCATATGTGTGCTGAGGATGGAACACCATAATTAGTGCATGGAACAAGAAGGTTCACATGGATTGTATGCACAATAACGGAACAGAACCAGCAAACTTCTCAACATAGAAGTGGTAATGCAAGTTGAGTTCGGATTGGCCACTGAGGACTGAGGAATATCACATCAATTAGAAACGGTAGTTTCGCTCAGTGTCCATAAAATTAAATGCTAGATTGATTTAGAAATCAGACCACAACTCATTAGGGTGCCTTTGAGTTACCAAATTAGCATTTCCTCCAATCCTACCATCCTCCCCAAAAACAAGTCCAGGCTATACAGATACCGATGCATATACCTCTTCAAGAAAAAGAAAGGAATGCCCTCAACCAACCACCTAATTACACTATATAGATTTGTGTGTGTGTGTGTGCGCGCGCACATGTAAGAGTGCGTTTGTACGTATATATACCTGAACCCTGTGAGAAGCTCAACAAATTCCTGTAAATATTGTGGAATTTTCTTCTCCCTGCCCCTGTTTTGTTATAGAAGAACCATGGAATACTGTAAGGCAGCTTGAACTCCTGTGGAAATGCCTACAGGGTTTGTGCGGGGGTGTGTGTGTGTCTCTCTCTCTATCTCTCGAAGACTGAGGTCATTGGTAGAACAGTTTTTTTAGATGTAAGGAGGAAGAGCAAAAAATAATAACCACCTGCTCTTAGAATGCTCTGTTGCCAGGCATACTGGATGCTCAGTTGTCCCTGTCAGGGTTTTACTGGGCCATGTCTATGATACTGTGTCATTTATTTAGTTGTTCCGTCAGTGCCTCAGTGGGTAAGAAAGGCATTGAGTGGTTTTGATTGAACTGTAATTTTGCCTTAAAAGTTTCTTAAGAGGGTAGGGTATCTAGGTAAGCTTACCTGTGATGTTAACAGATGTTCTTTATTTCACAAACACACACAGATATATACAAATACATATATATAAACACACACAAAAATAAATGGGTGTGTGCATTTGTGTTTGTGAATTTTAGATGAAANTGAACTGTAATTTTGCCTTAAAAGTTTCTTAAGAGGGTAGGGTATCTAGGTAAGCTTACCTGTGATGTTAACAGATGTTCTTTATTTCACAAACACACACAGATATATACAAATACATATATATAAACACACACAAAAATAAATGGGTGTGTGCATTATAGCGTTCTGCTCATCAGAATAAAGTATATAACAACATGACGACAGCTTGAAGTAACAAGACTGAAACTACATCAGTGCACAATAACACAGTAATACTCACATTTCTCACATCTGCATCTCGGACATCAAGATCTGTCGTTACCAATATGAACTTCACTTTCGTGTTAGTCAAATAACCATACCTGCAGACAGTGAACAGTATGGTGAANCTCACATCTGCATCTCGGACATCAAGATCTGTCGTTACCAATATGAACTTCACTTTTGTGTTAGTCAAATAACCATACCTGCAGACAGTGAACAGTATGGTGAAAATATTGCAGACACATGGACTGAAGTATGCAAATACAAGGACACAAATCCATTTATTTTTCTTCTTTTTTTTGTGTATATCAATATGCGTGATCCCTTAAGGTGACTGGTAGCTCGATAATGAGAAGTGAGTTGGCTTTTCCCGGGACGAATAGCTCATTCATTACTTGATGTAGAGATTTCTCTGCCCTATGTATCCTTTTTTTCTGGAGCTTGTGTTTAAAGTCATGGTTTTGTTTTGTTAGGATTTTCATATCTGCCTTCCCTTCCTTTTACTTGCAACCCCACGTTTCTAATATCAACGTGACCTTTATGGTAGGCCTCCCCCGAATAACGAAATAATTTTAACTACATGGTGAGCTGCTCCTCCCGACAATGGTACTACAGTCTGCAAGCTCCAATTCAAGTCGTTCCCTTTTGTGGATGTCTCAAGGCCGATCTTCTTGGATCTCTTTCATCTGAATAAGGTATGGCTAGACGCCTCCCCTGTGCCCTTCATTCTGAAGGAATGGTATGTGAGTCTTGGAGTAGCCAACTAAGCATATGATAAAACCACAAGATACTTGCACTTTATAGTTTTCGGTTGGATAAAGTAGACCAAGGAATGTCTCATTGAGCGTTGGTCCAGATTTTTTTGGGTTGTTCACTGCAATATAACCAGGCAAATGACAAAAGTCAAAATTTTTTGCATTATAAGCACCATTAAAAAACAAACTGGAGTGCCAAATGACTCCATTGTCTCTATAAGGTAATTAGCCTCTCCATGAACCATTGGACGAGTAGTTGGCAAAACATAACAAGATTCTTATGAATCAATAATTTTTTTCTACCAAACAAAAGAATTATATTGATGAGAACGGATTGTATCTAGAAAGCACGGATACTTACTAGAGGGGTGCCGTGGTAGTGTCGGATACACATCCATGGCCAGCATAGCAAAATTGATTTTTTTTTTCAGTAGAACATGGCCACGACATGGTCAGGATATTTTTTTTAATCTCAAAACTATTAACTATTAAGAGGGGTGTAAGATTTCATNACACATCCATGGCCAGCATAGCAAAATTGATTTTTTTTTTCAGTAGAACATGGCCATGACATGGTCAGGATATTTTTTTTAATCTCAAAACTATTAACTATTAAGAGGGGTGTAAGATTTCATTATTTTGTTTTTATACTTTTTGTTATTTAATTTATAGTATGAATGTTAATGGATGTAATGATGTTTGATGAAAATGGTAGTTTATTTTGATCTATTTCAATTTTAATAATAAAATTAATATTTGCTAGCTCTTATTATGAATATTTTTTATTAAATATGCTTTGTTTTTAATATATTACAATTTTGTTATTATCTAAAAAATATATAATATTATTTTAATTAATTGTATCTTTGTTATACCCATGTCTTATATTTTCGAATTTTGACGTATCTTTGAGTCTGTATCGTATCAAATTTGATATTCATATTCGTATCCGTACTTCCTAGGATTGCTTAAGGAAAAGGAGAGGTGGAGTAGTCGGTCGTCCAGCCCAAAATAGGCAAACAACACAACACCACAAGAGATGCTTTAAACAACATATAAAGTCTACTAATAAATCATAAGCTCTCCACTCAAGCATTATGCAAAACAACGGCAAGTCCTCAAAAATTTTGATAACCAAAGCCCAAAAAGCCAAAATTTTGAGAAAACACAATTCTCCATGTAGAAAAAGTCACAATATTATGGGCCACCACTCTACCAAATTAAGTTGGATATAATCATGAGATGTTTTTGAAATATTTAAGGGCTTAGGTCATCCACAATATAATAAATATCAACTAAGGTCTTACATCCTAACCGTTTGGGGCCAGCCACACAAATCTACATGCTGTTGAGCTTTGTTCAAAGGATCCTGGTCCTACTGATCACCTAAGATAACCATCTCTAAACCATTTCCATTGATGTCGCTAGTTATGTTGCCTAGAAATCTACACCCTATATAAACATAACATCATCATTATGTATCTCTAACTTTTATCAGGAATAGCAAATTAATTCTATTCTTTCTCCTTTTTGGAAGTAAAGATAACCCAAATTAATTTGAGCAGAAACTGGAGGAACTAGCCAGATTAATAAGGTCTCACTAGCAAAGAGCAATTGCAAACTCCGTGGTCAGAAAATCAATAGTGACAACCTTACACTCTAAGCTTCCCCAAACTGGCAAACTTTCTATGAAGGAGTGCTTGAGAAATTAGCTCAATCGTNCCTTTTTGGAAGCAAAGATAACCCAAATTAATTTGAGCAGAAACTGGTGGAACTAGCCAGATTAATAAGGTCTCACTAGCAAAGAGCAATTGCAAACTCCGTGGTCAGAAAATCAATAGTGACAACCTTACACTCTAAGCTTCCCCAAACTGGCAAAATTTCTATGAAGGAGTGGTTGAGAAATTAGCTCAATCTTGGGCCTCACAGATTTTCAAGTCTGAAAACTGAAACATCAGCCCATCCCAAAGAGAAACTCTAATATAGTTTGTTATGGCTTCACAAACCACCCATATTTCTCAAGCTGATGTACAATGTAATGTATCATTCTTGTACAATGCGTGGATAAGCATAGGATGGTGATCTTCTTNAACCACCCATATTTCTCAAGCTGATGTACAATGTAATGTATCATTCTTGTACAATGAGTGGATAAGCTTAGGATGGTGATCTTCATNTGTTATGGCTTCACAAACCACCCATATTTCTCAAGCTGATGTACAATGTAATGTATCATTCTTGTACAATGCGTGGATAAGCATAGGATGGTGATCTTCTTGGATTTTGCATAAAGATAGAGGTCTGCATCAAGAAAATGAAGTCGGTCAATCTGTCAATTCCTGCAACATGGTGCTTTAGAAGACAACCAAGCAACAAGTAAAATTGAGGTTTTGCATTAATAATTTTGTGAATCAGCAGAGCTTGTCTCTTCTATTGATGACTTGATCTTATCACCAGTATGGCAAAGTCGTTGCAAACAATGGTAACAGTGCAAGCAATTTTTTTTTATTTCTTAATTAGAGTTTATGACTAAAGGATGAAATTGGCTTGTATTAGAGATTAAATGAAGGATCAATCCTGGCCATAGATACAATCTCAAGCTAAGGCAGCTCAATGATACACTGACCACTAAAAGATGTTATCATTTGATTCAGATTGGCATCCAATTGCAGATATTTTCTTGTGTTGAATAACATATACAATAGAAGTTTCTAAATTGAACAGAGTTACGTCTTGGTAGACTAAAGGAATTGAAACCAAACGTAGAAAAATCAAGTACCACACTGTAAATCAAACTGATCCCAAACCCTAAATCGAATTCACATTAATAATAAACAATTGTACAAGCAAATTAGCGAAATCAAAACATCTAAGAAGCGTGCAAATTTGTACTATACACAAAGACAAAATCGTTTATGTGCGCAATGTGTTTTAGGGAGTGTGTGTGGGGGCGGGGGGGAGCTCGAGAGAGACTGAACCTCTTTCGTCGACGACATCTAGGGAGCAATGAACTATGTGATGATGCTTCAAAGCATCATCTGATTCCGTGAAGCTCTGAATATATAGCGGATTGTTCTGCTTACCAGATTGTTATTGCACATTAGCCCAACATATATATATATATATATATATATATACACATAGAGAGAGATAGAGACACACACACACACACATATATTATGGATGAGAGAAATTTATTTGGCAGAAGGCGCACCTGGTGGCCGACGACGGCGACACATACGATCATCTTCTCCGGTTCACGTCTAATCTACGAGAGAGCTTTTACCCGCTCACTCTTGTAGAGTAAGTTAGCAGTAACTCAGCTTGTATTTTGCTTAATAGAGTAATTTACCAATTTAACCTTTTGATTGTATGACTAGCTTGAGTTTAACCACCCTTTATTGACTTAACTCATGCTTCCTTAAAAATATTGAGATCTCCTGTACATTCTATTTTCAAATTTAGGAAAACAAAAGATGTTATTTTTGTTTCATAGCCTTTTAAGCAGGAGTTTGATTTTTTTTTTTTAATAATTTTTTTTAATGAGACGATAGGAATTGAATTAAATAGAAGTATCCAAAAAAAGAAGGGACACGATAAAGTTACGAACCACTGCCTTCCATACATCAAAACTAACAACAATTTTTGTATTTCTAACTAATTGATGTGATACCTTATTAGTTGTGCATAGCTGTGCTGTGGATCGTAGACAAACATGATGAATTTCTTATATCCACCAAGACATATTCCAAGAGATCAAATTCAACGAAAGTTCTTATACTTGATATTTACTATTTAATGAATTACTAATCTCTAACAACTAATAACTTTTAATGAATCAATTTGTTTCGTGCTCTGTAATTAATATTTTATATAGTCTAATGATTATTATTGGACAATTTATTCTATAATATTAATTTAAAAAAGAAGGCGCTAATTTAAAGGACCAAGTCCTAACCAAATTATTTATCCATAGTGATAGGGGAACTAGCCAACTATTTGGCACTTTTAGTGTATGTTCATTACAACTTGCTATGTCTTCTCTTTTGTCCTTCCCAAAGCAAGAATTGTCAAGTTTATAATTTGAAGTCACATATTATAAAAGAAAAATGAACAATATTACTTAAGTCGATAATTCATTAGTTTTAAAGTTAATTAAAATTCTCCACAATAGAATATACCTTTCTATTTTCTCTTCCCATTAAGCAAGCATCATCCTCTTTACTTTAACAAGTTTATAACTTGGAATAACGTGTAGAAAAAGAAAATATAACAATGTCACTACATTCGATAATCCATTAATTAGTAATATTAATATCCTATAAGATGGACGGCCCAGATGAATCTAATTAAATGCATTCGGGTGTATCTAATTCAATATCG